AACCCGTCGTCCTATGTTTATCCAGTTACAAACATTAATACAGTCACTTCATAATTTTCAACAAATCAGTGTTTCCTGCAGGATCATGACATTTTCCCTGAGCTAAGCATAACTCCACTAGCATTTTAATTTACAGACATTCTTAAAACCAAACTGGTAATATCTTATTACACATAAGGATTGTCCTAGCTTAGATAAAAATGTGTCTTGGATTTTTCTAGCTATGCTCAGAGATTTTACACAGTAGATACACGGAATATGCCAGCGTGTCAAAGAACTGTAAGGAAACTAGCATTAAAAAGCAGCTTACTTCATTTTTTAAAGATATCTGATTATAACGTAAGTAATGATATAGTAACAGCAAGTAGCCACTCCTAGGGCTTTCTGGCAGAGCACATGGGAATTGTTCGACTGCTCAAAGCTAACAAAATCCAGCCTGTTTCCTTCAGCTATTTTTTATCTTATTAGAGTGTTGTTTGTGTGTAATAAGTAAGTTTGTTGGGCTCAGAATTTTTATTTGCTTGACACAATGTTTACAAGAATGTGTGTTGCTCAGGTGGAAGGAAATGTTTAGTGTTTCTTTTAACTCTGGGAGAGAGAGCTTTGTGGTGAAGCAGGAAAGGATCAGCATGGACTTTCTTTCTTTCTTTCTGAAGAGGCTGCATCAGTTCCATAGAAATGAATGTGGAAGCAGCATTCCTCTCACCAGTAATGTAATGCAGGTGGATAGTTCTGTTTCCAGCTCAGGTGAAGCCTCTCTTGCAAGATCTTGAAATACATTTGAGGAATACTTTCTGATTATCTGTGTGTGCAAATTTCCTGGCATTTCTGAGCTCAATTCTGTAAAGGACTCTCCAGATGCTATAGTTGGACCCTGAGGAACTGTAACTGTAAGGTTATCCTATATTTAAGATTCTGAATGGAATGCAACACAGGCAGACCTAATTAAGGAATTTCAGGCTTCTATAAACCCATCAGTAATTTATTTTCCAAGCTTCCATCAAACAAATGTTGAAATGCAGCTCACTATAGTTGTGCATAATATGTACATTTGATATTAATCTGTTGGATTACTTCATTATCATTTACTAATTCACTTCACTTAAGTCATTCGGCGCATATTTAGCTAATTACATGTCTGAATATGTAGATTCATGTGATGTTGGTCAGCTATTTAAATGAAAGCCTCAGTGTGTTAGAAAATCTAATGGCCAAGAAGAGTAAATCACTAATTGTTTTTGAAGGGTCTTACCCTTATTTTGCAGCAGTGCCCAAAATGTGCCAGACACGATACAGTACAAGCATATGGCAACAGAAAGGCAAAGTGACCAGCGTTACGCTAGGCACACGTCTTTTTAGTTCCCATTTGGTTTTGAAGAATTTTCTTGTGGTTTTGTTGCTTTTATGTATAAACTATCTCCAATTATGTATGAGATAATGCCCCTGAACCCAATCATAGCTAACATGTGTGAGCTATCCTGCGGTAAAAACACAGAGAAGACAAAGCATTTTAGTTTCATGAGGTAAACTTGCCAAGATAAACTCCAGGTGGGAGAATAGGACTGACCGTGGTGAGTTCACCTCATGGTAAAACGAAAGCGCCTTGTCTTCACTTACCCCGAGGTAAAAACTGCTTTTTTAGCAGTGAAGACAAGCCCTTTCTGGGATGTGTCTCTCTGCAGAGATTGGTTCTCACTACCTGGGCCAGGAGAGGGTTGTGAAGTGTTTCATGTTCTCAAGCTATCTCCATCCCTGTCCAGCACTTGGGGCAACACTCACAAGTTTCAAAGGGAACAACAATTCTTCCTTGACAAATGAGAGAATTGGTCTGAAATCAACAAGATGAAATTCAATAAAGTGTAAGCGACACTTAGGAAGGAAAAATCAAATGCACAACTACAAAATGGGGAATAATTGGCTAGGCAATAGTACTGCTGAAAAGGATCTCAGGTTTATAGTGGATTACAAATTGAATATGAGCCAACAGTGTGATGTAGTTCTGAAAAAAAGCTAATATTCTGGGGCCCATTAGTAGGACTGTTGTATGTCAAAGGTAGGTATGGGAGGTAATTGCCCTGCTCCACTCTGCACTGGTGAGGCCTCAGCTGGAGCATTGTGTCCAGTTTTGGAAACCAGGCTTTAAGAAAGATGACAAATTGGAGAGAGTCCAGACTAGAGCAACAAAAATGATAAAAAGTTTACAAAACCTGACCTATGAAGAAAGAATCTGGGCATGCTTAGCCTTTATAAAAGAAGACTGAGTAGGGTCTTGATAAGTCTTCAAATATGTTAAGGCTGTTATAAAAAGGCTGGTGATTGTTCTCTAGGTGTCCACTGAAGGGAGGAAAAGAAGTAATGGGCTTAATTTGCAGCAAGGGAGATTTAGATAGATATTAGGAATAACTTCCATAGTTAAACACTAGAATAGGCTTCCAGGGAGGTTGTGGAATCCCTTTCATTGGAGGTTTTTCAGAATAGGTTAGACAAACACCTGTCAGGGATGATCCAAGTTTACCTGGTCCTGCCTCAGTGCAGGAGGCTGGACTAGATGACCTCTCAAGGTTCCTTCCAGCCCTACATTTCTATGATTCTAACAACCAGTTCTAATTTAGTAAGGAGAGGATTGCTAAAGATGTGTAAGTGGGTGGGAGGGAGCAGGAGACAAGGAAGCGAAAGAAATTAAGGGTTATTCCAAAGGGGGCACAGATTCTCCCTTGCTGGAGGCATGCGTCTAGACATGGAGACAGTTCATTATTCACTAAGCACTGTCACAGAAGACTCTTTAGTTCCCTGAGTCCCCTTAGTCCTGGTAGCATGGTCATTAGATCTCTACTTCTCTTCCACCATTTTTCCACCTTTTCCTTCCCAAAGGTAATGTAAGGCAAGCACCTAGTAAATGCAGAAGCTTAAAACTGCTCATTGCAATGTTAACTGCCATGGAAAATTCCATCAGACACTTTGCCAGTGTGGAGGGAGATGTTGCTGTATACAATAGCTATTACCAATCTCCACCAAGTTCACACCGAAAACTTCTGGAGTTCTAACTGTGTGGTTTTGTCAGGATCCAAGGAAGGGAGAAGAGGAAAGAGAACGATGCCTTTAGGACCATTTTTCTCCCCTCACATGTTTGTCTGTTATCCTTTCTATGCAAAAAGCTGGGGAGGAGATATGTGGCTAGATCCTCAACTGCTGTAAATAAGCCTAGTTCCACTGACGTAAATAGCAGCAGCTCTGTTGAAACCAGTTGAGGGTCTGGCCCATGGTCCTTAAGCGTCCCTCCTATATACCATAATTCATACATGCAAGTAGCCCATAAAATTAGCTCAGCTGTGGAAAAGCCATTGCGGTGAAGCCACAGGTAAAAGTCTACCTATGAAACCTGGAATAGTTTCACTGTGAAAACTTTTTTCCAAATCACAGCTTGCTTGAAGCGTCGTTTGGTAAGAAAGAGTGTGTCCTCTACAGTAAAAGAATTAGTAAACCACTTTATAGCTTGTCATATTTATTGAGTTTGAGCAAACGTACTTACACCCTGCCTACTGGGCTTCTTAAAGCCTTGGTGTAAAAGGAGAGAGGGAAGGTGTTCCCTCACATAGGTCTTTGCACATAGCTGGGGAAAGCTTGAGAGGGCTTGATATTTTCAGTGGTACCCGTAACTACCATTTTGAAATGCCTGGCTGTAGGGATATTGAAAGGCGAGCTAATGGGAATGTTCATGCCAGATGTCTTGGCGTAGGAGAAATGTAGCCCTCAAAATCCAGTCATAGAGTAGCAGTTTAAAATAAAATAGAAAATATCTAGAATGGAGCTATTTGAGAACATGGGGTAATACCCCTCCTTGCTTAATCAGAGAAGAAAATCAATTGCAGTGCCTGACTCCAGCAAAGAGGAGAACTGAAAAATTTGCATCTGAACATAAAAGAACCATTTTGATGAGTATACGAAGCATCTAACGCTGTTTCTGGATTGCAACCTAGTTTTATGGTAACACTACTGGGTTTTATGGTAACAATACTGTGTTGCATAGAACTATATATAAACTGTGTGACAGACCCAGACCAATGGGGTACAGGAGTCTGGTAGAGGGCAAATATACTGGTCACTGGATGAGTAGTTTTCTGTTCCCTGAGTGACCAGAGCAGGGGCTGCAGTAGAGTAATCAGGAACCTGCTAGAACCAGTTAAGGCAGGCAGGCTAATTAGAACACCTGGAGCCAATTAAGAAGAAGCTGCTAGAATCAATTAAGACAGGCTAATCAGGGCACCTGGGTTTTAAAAGGAGCTCACTTCAGTTTGTGGTGTGAGTGTGAGGAGCTGGGAGCAAGGGGCGCAAGGAGCTGAGAGTGAGAGGGTGTGCTGCTGGAGGACTGAGGAGCACAAGCGTTATCAGACACCAGGAGGAAGGTCCTGTGGTGAGAATAAGGAAGGTGTTTGGAGGAGGCCATGCGGAAGTAGCCCAGGGAGTTGTAGCTGTCATGCAGCTGTCACAGGAGGCACTATAGACAGCTGCAGTCCACAGGGCCCTGGGCTGAAACCTGGAGTAGAGGGC